TATTCGATTTAGGGTTTTAGTATATATATCTCTCGCTACGAATTTATTAAGACACACACATATATATAAAAGCATATGACTTACATCACAGACTCGCGAGAAGACCCTCAGAAACTCCCGTTGAGAACCCACACCAGACAGCGACAATGAGATGAGTATGGACACTATTAGAAAGCTGTACAGAGATATCTGATATATAATTCGCGGTCTCGTCACGGGGTCTTTGAAGAAGGCGTATGTCCGTAACTGCCAGTATATCAAGCGCTTGGCCCTGGCTGGGACAGTACGTGAGGATGAGTTAGAGATCTATCCCTACTTGTGCATATCGTTTGTACACAAGTTTTAAGATGTCACTTTACTTGTGCTTATCTTTAGTATAGAAGTCAATAATGATATTTATTTTCTTGTGCATATCTTTCGTTAGTACATACGTCAATAATGATATTTATTTTCTTGCGCATATCTTTCGTACATAAAACAGTAGAGACTATTCTTACTTGTGCTTATTTTGTGGTCAGAGGAAAATAGAGATAGCCCAATGCATGTGCAGATCTCATGAACCTCAGGATATAGAGATCGGAAGTTTCTTGCGCATACGGATATCAGTGTTTTATTATTATTTGTGCGAAGCTCACGAGCATCCATGAATATGCACACACTTGGAATAAATAAAACGTACTGGCCTGTGGGATAAGGTCACCATGTTAGTATTAGAACCTCCCAAAAAAACTACATTAATAGCTAAACGTAAGCACAGATAGGCTTGCTAAGGTGAACTAATATTCTACACTACAGTCGTAAGTGTTCATAGCGATCACCTCCAGGGCATAGCAAGCAAATCCTGTGCACGAATGAAAGCAGACATAGACATACATATTCCCTATGTAATCTACCCCTTTCAAAATGAGCTTTGAATCATGTATACCTCTCCGCTATGTATTCCACCCCCCTCACACATCTCCCTAAACCATTTGAAAGGGGCCTTTAAACCATACATACGCATAAATCTACGCTGTATAATCTACCCCTCACGCATCCTCCTAAATCACCTGAAAAGGGCTTTACATCATGCATACACATACATCAACGCTATGTAATCTACCACCGCCACGCATCCCTGTCACACCCGAGAGAGGCATTATATCATGCATACACATACATTTACGCTATGTAATCTATCACCCCCACGCATCCCTGTCACACCCGAGAGAGGCTTTAAATCATGCATACACATACATCTACACTATGTAATCTACCCACCTCACGCATCCCTGTCACACCCGAGAGAGGTTTTAAATCATGCATACACATACATCTACAGTATGTAATCTATCCCCCTCACGCATCTCTGTTACACCTGAGAGAGGCTTTCAATCATGCATACACATACATTTACATTATGTAATCTACCCCCTCACGCATCCTTGTCACACCTGAAAGAGGCTTTAAATCATGCTTCGGGAAGGGTATGGTCTCTATCCACCAGAACGGTGAACGGAACTCATTCAGTGAGATGGTGTCGTCCTGGCTGCCAGTCAGTGACTCGTTAGTGCTTTTGCGCGGGCGTTTGCCCATTCGACTGCGTATGTCCTCAGCTGCGCCATCCGCCAACGATACTCGGCTGCCCTGTGGACTGGGCGTGCCGGTGGGATTTGCTGTGCTCATCTGTGGCATTTGTTTCAGAGGGTGTATGAGTGGAGGTGACTCTGACAGACTGGTAATAGACGAGTGCGCACTACTGGGACGTCAAGGAGTCTGCATGTGATCTCATGGATAAGGATGAGCTACGGTGGCAGGCATCGAAGAATTCTGTGGGTGACTTTCTTGTGCAAATGAGATTGAATTCAAACTACCATCCCCCTCTTTCAA